AGATTAAATATTTTTAAAGTGAGTAAATAATATTGTTTTGTAAGTATAATTATTCGATATTATTTAAAGGTCTATCGATCTATAAGGAACCCACGTACACACGCACGCACACGCACGCACGCACACACACGCACACACACACGCACACACACACACAGAGAGAGAGAGAGAGAGAGAGAGAGAGAGACAATGTATTCACAACTTTTTGTACAGGAATATCAGTGTATTACAATAAAGATAATTCTTAAAGATAACGTATAATAGTTATTTCTAATTTTAAGAAATTTAATTTAAAAAATTTTTATTTTATAATATCATGAACATTAGATAATACATTAGGTTTTACGATATATCTTAAGAAATGTATATATTTTTTTATTAATTTGACAGTTGAAAAAAAACTTGTATACTTAATTGAAATTTGTAAAGATGTAATTTAAAGTAAAGTTATTATTGAATTGATATAAAAATTTATATTGTACTGGTCTACGATAACACAGATATATTTTTTCCATTAGTATCCTCAACGAATGAGATTTTAGAAACCATGGAGCACTATTAGTAAAGTTTTAGGAACGATGTAGTAACATTGATGGAAGGTTCTAGTTTCGACTTTCGTACGAAAAGTTAGATTCTGGCAATGCCGTTAAAACTCTTTTCAAATACAGCACTAACAACATATTTTCCATAGAGATGTAAAACAAAAATTTAAACAACTTGTATTTCAAAATATCTTTGGGAGAGTTGAATATTGAGAAATAGAGGAAAATTTTTTTTTTTTAAAATATAAATACCTAAATTACTTTTATTCGCATAAATATCAATTACGACGCAAATACATTATTCAATAACAATTGAAAAGTAAATAACATCATATAAAACATTTTAATATTGTTTTGCAATATTCTCAAAAAATTTTTATGCTTTAAAACGAGATGTTTTAATTTGTTACTAATGATGCTTCAACACTTTTAGAATTAGAATTTTAATAGCGGTGATTCATAGTTCACATATATAGAGAAAAATGAGAATTAACGAATATATTGAAATATTATTTTTTCTTTTATTATTTCATATATATACATAATATTGCTCTCGTGGTATTAATAAGCATTTTAAATGTACGTTTTATTTTTATATTGTATGAATTTTTTGTATATTATTTGAAATTTTGTTGAAGGATAAAACGAATTAAGTGTATTACTTGATTTACTTTAAAAATTTAATTTATTTATTTATTTATAATATTTATTTCGTTTAAAGTAAGAAATAATTTTTCATTCTTTTATTTTAATAATGGATAGGAATGAATTATTTACAATAATTCTATCTTTTATTTGCAATTAAATAACACCTATCTTATTATTCAAAGTTTATGATTATACTACAGTATTTATCATATATTCATCACATACATATTCATTTTATTATGTCATAAAATTGTCAATACATACGAACAAAAGTACAGTATAGATATTAGTATATACATTGTTATAGTCGGTAGACTAATAATATATTAATAGTCATTTATTAATTTGATCTTACGCTATTAATATTGAATTCATTTAAAACTACAAATAATAATAATCATTATTATTACATTTTTAGAAATATCATCTAATGCTATTTCATTCAAAATAAAAATATATCTGGATCACATATTTATGATCTTAGTCGTTATAATATATATTGGAAATTATTTTGGTATTACAAGTTACGTATTTGACAGTGATTTTACACGTGCAAAAATATTATATCACGATAGTATCTACATTAGTCCGAAAGAATTTATGGATACATTTTATATCTAAATAATATAAATTTAAAATATTTTTCTAAATCGTCAAATTGGAAATTGTCATCATCACTGAATACATAAGTTGCTCATATCGTAATTTTAAAAACAATGTGTATAACAATAAAAAATATATAAATAAAATAATAAAATAATTAATTAAGTACATATTTGCGATTTATTGCGAAAAATATTATATTCTAGTAAATGTTAATTTGTGTTCGGTTACTCTCTGCGGCATTATAAGCATTTAATTAAATTTCATAACATCATATTTATATCATTTTGTAAGTGTGAAAACATAACATCTAATATTACACTTGTCTTAAAAAATTTAGATTTAATTTAAATTAAGATTAAATTTCCACTCGTTTGGTACTTTTAGTTTCAATTATTAAGTAAAAATATCTTGGTAATTAAAGGATCTCAATAGGTTATTATTATACCCTGAAAAATTATCGGCAAAATATTAATTTTAATAATTAAAATATTTCAGGTATATATTCATTTATTTAATTTGTCTAAAATCAGTGTCAAGAAACGAATTTTTCTCCCACATTGAAATTATACATGAAATAGGGAATAATTGAAATAGCGAAATCTATAAACCTTAAAGAAATTAATCCAATTTAACTGAAACTAAAATGATATTGCTAACCAATATTACAATCATTATATAGCTTTTTCTTTCTCAGCAAGTCGCTTCAAAAAGGAAAGTATTGTATTTCACTTAATTATCATAAAATCGACAGATCTGCATGAGTTATTAATGTTTCTTCGTACGTCATTTGAGAAATATAAATTTAAACTACGAAACGATGTATCTAGTTTACAAATTTCTTTTCAACGATTGACTGTTTTTATTAGCCTATATTTTATTGAATGATAAAAATTTATGAGCATATATGTATATAATATAATAATTATTAGCATTGGTAATAATAAATTTTATACTTAAAGTTCCACAAATTCAATTTCCTTAAAATTGCATTAATGAAAATAAAAGTACCGTTTGACATTCGCAATAAAAAAATTCTACTATTAATAATGCATGATCATTTATATAAATGAATAGTAAGTTTATTATCAATAAATATTTATTTTTATTAGCTCGTTCGTATAGTGTCGGAAAATTCAAATGGAACGTGGTTTTTCATATATTCTAAATAAAATTTTCAAATTAAATCATTTTTTAGAATCATTTACCGTCCTTCTGGAAATTACTAGTGGCCACTATATATGCTATTTATTTAACGAAAGTCAGTCTCATATTTTACGATCTGATGTAGAAAGTCAAGTGGAAAGCGAATTTTCTGATATAGCATCGATCTGAAGTATCTTCTTATTATCATCGATGTTCAAACTATTTATCAGGATATAGTCACTTTGGATTCTGCCATCGAGAATATGAGCAATCTTCTCTTTCTCACATTTGGTATAACTCGGTGTATAGATTATCAATTTTGATGATATTATGGCTATTCTGTTGCATCGCCATTTTTCACGCTCGATTGCTTTCTTTATAAAATTATTATTAATTAATCGATTTAATAAAGCATTCAAGTTATAAAATCGTATTAATAGCGTTCACACTTCCTTCTCACAAATGAAAGATATCCTATCTGCCGATAAAATAATGTTGATCATTGCTTTAATTCAATAAAATGATTAGAAAATATTCTTACATAAATTCTTAAACAGTGTTATATAAGTTTACATACACATGCATATATTCATGCATACGTGGATAAATTTCTATATACATTATGAATTTTATGAATTAGAAGAATCTACCACACTTATATACGTAAAGCTACTCTACTTTATCGTATTATATTAATGTACATTCTTGGTATAATGCGCATATGGAAGTCGGTACACCTATGTACGACGGTGAGGTATAAACAAATTTAACTAATTTACATTTATTACCCGGGATGCAAATGAATTTTTTATAATCATTTATAGTCTTTGTATTCGTCAAAATTTAATAAAGTAATGGAAAGTAGCTCATACAGAATGATATGAAAAAAATATTTTAATTTTTTCATGACTGAAATCCTCTTTTATTGTAACATTAAGCGTATGGTTGTTTTTGTATAAAAATTAAAGCATAAAGCACACAATAAATATCTCATTATTTTTTAGAACAAGCTACGGATAATTTATCTTCCAATTTTGATTATTTATAAAATTTAAATAATGTATCGTATATTAATTATACTTTCATAGTTAGAATTTTATAAGTTGAACGGGAGAGCTGATATTTAAGTAAATCTTAACTTCTTTTCTTTAAAATATATTGATAATTGAAAAAGTCTCGAGAAAATGAAATGAATTTTCGGAAAAATATTCTGACTTGAGAATTTATATTTACTAAATTAAATATAATTATTAATGTTCTTGTATATCAAAATCAAATGCTTAATCGAAACACTCGATAAATCTTTATTATTTATTTGTAAATAAGAACTATAGCCTTTTATAAAGCAATCGATACTCAATTTCAATGTTTATTTTATAAGTAAATAAAAAACATGAATAGTGTATGTATGTATGTATATAAAAGACGTTATATAAATATTAGGGAAGAAATGCGGTATATTCAAGATTTATTGGACATTTATTTAAAATTATTTAAAAAAGGGGTAGTAGTATGATGGTCAGTTTTTATTTATACTTATTATTATAGGTGAGCCAATAGGATATGCCGGTATTTTCTCGATTCTCATAATCGAAGTGAGATGACGCATATTTCGTAGTGAAAAAGCTCTAGGCCATGGCCGACAGTTGGAAATGGAACGTTGTAGGGCGTAGAATCTTCTCTGAAAATCAAAGTCTCTCTGTGAAAATGGAGGCGATCAGTCTTTTCCGCAGTGGATTTCCAGAGACAGAGGGTGGGAGGAAGTGCGAAAGAAAGAGAAAGGGTGGTGCGAGTGAGCGATAGAGTGGCACGGAGTGGCGGTAGTGGGAGGGGAATAATTTGTTATAGCATTTTTCTCGCGGAATAAAAAGCATGTCGGGACAAAATTCTCATAATAGCAGAACTAAGTCAAAATCATCTTGTGAAGCTGCACGTGCCTTATTCGTATATTTTTGCCGAAAAAAATAGCATGCGATGCAGCTCGGCTGGCTACTCGCTTGGGCGGCTGAATCTTCATGAAAGTTCCGACTCCTGAGCTCGTAATCTTAACTAATGTCGCCATCATTCACAAGCGTAAGTTCCCATGACCTCTTCTTCTCTTTTGCCCTTTTCGCGTAAGACTGTCTACAAGAACAGAGTTGCAAATTGGAAATTTGTTACCATTCCTCTTTTCAAAGCAGTTCCGACCCATTTTAATAATGCTTTTAAATTTTCATTAATGTTTAAGTAAACGTTTTTGGTAATAGAGAAAAGTCCAGTTCTGTGCAAACAATATATATTTAGATTACATTTCAACATTATTTCAAATTATTTGCTATTTCGTTTAATGCATCGTGTAGCATTATTAGTAGCGGTAAATTTGTAAAACAGTAATAATTTTGGAAAAAGTCGAACAATGCCTTTTAATGAATCAACTGTATATTTTCTAGTTATTTATAGTTATATCGCAGAATAATCAATAATTATTCGAAGTTCGTGTAATTGCTTATTTAATAGCATTGAAAAAGTTTCTTCGTTAATAAGAAATATTATTACCGTTGTATTTCAATATGAAAATGCCATTATATTTATAGAATTTTTTTTTTAACAATTTTTGAAAATATAGAAAAATACATAATACAAAATACAAAATTATGAACAAAGTAGAACTTTATTTTATAGGTATTTTATTTTCAACTAAGGCGATTTTTAGAAGAAGATACACGCATGACAGTGACTATACTGTAGGGGACACAATTTTTGAATTTTTTATTTTTCAAGAAAAACAACGATCGAAGCCGTCTCCCTGTTACTATTGTATTATATAAATAATATTTTTTTTTATCTAATAATGCCTTCATAATATGCCTATTATATAATAATTTCTTAAAATTTTAACAATATTTTATTTTATTTTCTCTTACAAATTGATCTTTATAAATGTTCAAACTTTTTAATTAATATAATTTTTTAATTATAATAACATAGAAAAAATATTAAGAAAATAATGTTTGATGTAGTTAAATATAGAGAAAAAAATAATAAATATTTTATATTATTCTATAAAATAAGTTTTTCATATCCTTTTATATTGCGCTGCTGCACTAACAAAGTTTATTACACCTTTAATACTTAAATATACACATCATATTCTATTTGCTACAATATATAAATTTTACGATTATTCTGTATTCAATGTATCATAACAACTACAAATCATAATCAAATAAAATATTTGCGACGTAAATTGGTTTCATCAGTGAATGTGCGCTTAAAACAATGAATCATCGAATCTGTAAATCACATTTGATGTGTTGAGAATAGTTATATTATATCTATTTACTCTGTAATTTTAGAAACTAGACGCATTATTGTGCCTATTACTTATATTTAATATTTCATTAAAATATTTACTTTATATTAAAATATTTATATAGTATTTATAATATATTTGAGAAGCACGGTTATATTGGTACATAAAAATTATCGATTAAAATAGAAAATTTATTAACTTTGCCCCTTCAATTTATCGTTTTTATAACATATTTCGCAATCTTCCGTAATAATTTATGCCTTGAAATTATATTAAAATGCTAATTTATAATTATTTATCGCAGGATTATATTGATTCTAATGCTAGTACAAAAAATTGTATTTTACCCAGTGCTCTTAATTTATGATACAATGAACACATTATTTCATATCAATAAAGCTATAAATGAAATAGTCATGAAGATTAATCTTGTTATGCATTTTTTAAATATTATTTATATATTTTTTACATATATATTCAGATATGCATACACGCTGTATACGCACACAGTCCCTCACGCACGAATATACACATTCGCACACACAAGTCAAATTATACTATGGTATAGGCAAATAATTGAAATTATTAAATTAATTATTCTAATTTTTCATTTTTCAAAAATTTATTTCATGATTTTCTTAACAAAAAAATATTGCTGTATATATATGAAGCTACCGAAACAGCAATGCATCCACATATTTACAATAGAATATTTTAATTGAAGCCGTAACACTGTAATTTTTAAAACGTCAAATTATTAATATATAATATATTTTAAATACTTTGATTCTATATTTTTGATTATTGTTTTGTTTTTTTTTTTTTTCGTTTTCTTGTTTTTGTTTTCTTTGATACCTCGATTGACCGTAGCTTTGGCTCGGTAGTTGATAATTATTATATGTAAAAACATATCTAACCGACGCTGGCCTCACTTCTTATCGTATACTTAAGGAGCTTCAAATCTCCCGAAAGAATCAAGTCCCACCAGCATTCCACACATCCCGAGTATTTCATCATGATAAGAATACTTTGGAAAAATGGCGCTCGTGGGAAGACGGGTTCGTACAGGCATTTTAAGGCATAATAAAGTATAATCGGTAGGCATGAATAAGTGCCGTAGTATCCATGCTGAATTGGCGTGATGCACTCCAGGTATTTTACAGCGGACTGGAGTAAAAGCTCGCGAGTACTGAACTTTCTATTGCGCAACATAGCAAAAAGCAGAGACATGTGTACATGCGCGGGCGTAGCTCGGCGTTATTAAGTACGTGGCGCGTTGTGAAAAGCGGGAGTCGAGGTATAATTGCTTGCGCGAGGTAGCGAGCGATGCTAATATCCTCGAGATCTTGCCAAATCGTCGCAATATGCATGCATTTGAAGTGGGTAACTCCGCACGTATGCCCTAGGCTTTACCGCTCTTTCGCATTATTCTACAAACGTACGTCGAGAGAATGCCGCAGAAGCTCTCGTTAGTCTCCACCTCTTCCTCGCCGTGCTATATCTCCCGATGCATAATACTACGAATACACTTGCTTCATTAGAAATATTTTTCCGCTCCTCTCTATCCATCTGTATTTAATATTACACGCTGTTTTTAACCGTTGATTAGTAGTGAAAGTATATCGTTTTGAGATTGTCTAGCCTCAGTGTGAAAGAAATGTCTACGATAACCATTAGCTTTTGAAATCCTTCATTATTTTTTCTATCCACTCTCGCGTATCGGATATTTTCGCGTAAACAGTTGGGCTTCCGTATGCACAATTATGGCTCCAGGATGCGAGGCCTGTTTAAAAAGGATTGCTTGTATGGTATTAAAGTTTCTCGTCGACGGATGTACGATTGAGTAGATAATGCTTTACCTATTACTTTATTATTATATACAGCGGGAGATCCGGAATCACCGACGCAGGGTCCAGAACCTTCTGTGAATATACAAAACATCCGATCGGTTACGCTGTTATTGCCATAATATAATTGGCATGCTTCATTGCTTATTTTTTGTACGTGACTCTCGCGAAGATCGTCCGATATTTTTCCTAATAACTAATAAGAATGTTAATAAAAGTTATTATAATAATGAATATAATACAATAAGCATATATAAAGATAATTTATTAAGCAGTATATGTACTTGCGTAGCTCCCCAGCCGGCAATAGATATATTTGTCTTATCTTGAATTATTTCATTATTCTCTGGTATATCTATCGGCATAGTATTTTTGTCGAACACAATACTTTTGGTCAGCTGTTTGAAATGAAAACAAAAAACAGAAATAAATAAATAATAATAATCGAGGTTTCATGCAATCACATCGATAAACTAATGTTTCATTATAATTAGGTACCTCTAATAAAGCGACGTCATAATCAAGAATTATGTTATTATAATTTGGATGAATTGCTATATTTTTGATGTTATAAATGGCTCCATTTTCATAGTATTTAGATGATCCAACTCTTACGTGAAATTCATTGACTTTACGTCTGCAAAAAATTAATATAAATGCAAACAGGAGCATTAATTTAGAAGCTTATTTTAGAAATTTGTGTTAAATTACGCTAGGGCACATTGAGCCGAAGTAATGATCCATTTCTGCTTGATGATAATACCGCAACAAAAGTGATCATAATCGTGCCCGAAAAATGTTCCATTATGCTGTAGCGAAACCTAAGCAATGCACAAGTTAATTTTAAATGTGAAACTAAAGGCTTTTATTGCTTTTCATATATAGCAGTGCAAATCTTAATTTAAAAACTAGGCATGACTTACAATTATCTTATTGATAAAAACATATTAATTATATAATATTTTATATGAATTATGTGCAAATGCAATTGTTAATTTGAATACAAAACTTGTAAATATAATTGTAAATATAATATATATATATATATATATATATATATATATATATAAATACTAATGTTTCCAATACAATCCTAAGGAATTCTAATACTCAGCTAATAATAATACTAAAATAAATAATTTTTTTCATTAAAACTTGTAATTTTTATTGAAACGAATTACAATACTAACGATTTATATTAAAATTTTTATGCATACAATTAAATACTTTTTGTACAGTTATATTATCGTTATATAATATCGTTTTGGATTAATTTCTTATACTTAAAAAGATTTGAATTTTACAAACTAGAAAGAAAAAATATTAATAGTCAATGAGATGCACCATTTGAACGAATCGTGTTAGTTAAAGATTTAGCATTTAATACTAGTTAATGTAAAAGATAATGGTAATAGCATTTAAGATGACAGTAATGGGATAGTGTATTTTAGTAGCTCGTGTAAGCGGTTTACCCTCATTTGTACTATTGCAACAATAGAATATTCAGTATATAAAAGAAGCATGGAAGTATTATTGCACTGATGTTATATTATATCGTTAATACATCGAAGCAATAACACGAAGCTAACGGAATTTAAATAAGATTAATTATTTGGTTAATATATATATATATAGAACACAGACACCGATATATATATATATATATATATATATATTTGTGTGTATATTGTTAAATTTTCTAATGTAAAGAGCATAAAAATTCTAACATACAAATTTCATCAATATAATAAATGAAAAAATAGTATTTTAAAATATTTTAGTATTTTAAAAATCTTTCAGGTCATCAATTAAATTATAGTAATTACAGAATTAAAGGCAATTTATTTTGATTTAGCAGTATGAAAAATAACGAAATAACACAACTGTTATATATATTTCAAAATTATTATATATATTTTATCCTACATTGTATTATAATTTGTAAAAATGTATGTATTGATATTGGAAAATCATATATTTTTATTACTAAACTTCAATCATCTTAAAATTAATTGGAATTCAAACAAATAAAAATAATGTAAAAAATTTTTTTTATTTCTTAATATTGTTTAAAATTAATTAACAATCATAAAGTAATTGGTACGCATACTACAAAAGGCCCAGTAGAATAATTTGAATGAAAATTAATTCGAATGATTAATGTGTGCCGTATTAAAATTAATTTATAAGTAATGAAATAAATACAAGTACCGGGATTTACAATTATAATTTAGCACCATAATAATAATTTCACAATACAACAGAAAAATAAGATTTCTTAGGATTTTAAAAATAAATTTTTTTATTATATAAATCTATTTATATATTTCAATTTTTTTGTTTTGTTTTTTGTTTTATTTGTTTTAGTTTAGTTTATCTTTTGTGGATATATATATATATATATATATGTATGTATGTATAATTATTTGTAAGTATTACTTAATGTATAACGAACCATTTGTTTCTGGAAAATGGATGAAAATGCGTAATTAAGTAAAATGGATGGATACGTTAAAATGGATTATTTGAGTAATTATGTTTTTTTTCGTTATTTTTTAACGTTAACTGAATGATATAATTTTAAAAATATGTGGACTAATATTTTTTAATGCATTATTTTCATTAAAACTAATTCTAAAATATTCTGAGTGCAGAAAGTTTTATGCGGTACTCGCATAGAACCCCCACCATTAAATTCAATATAAGTTCGACTATATGTTGAAATTGAGAATGAAAACACCAAGTTGAATATCATTTAATTTATTTCTAATTATATGATTTTATTTGAAAAATGCACTAAATTTTGGTGAGAAAAATTCTTTAACCTTTATTGTAATTAATAAGAAGGCAATTTAAGATGTTTTATAACATAATTTTAATACGTAAGTGCAATTGTACACTAATTTCAAGGAATAAATGTAAATTACTAACCATATAGGGAAAGTCTTGTATATCTGCAACAGCTCCAGAAATAATTTTTATTATTCTTGAATGCATCAAGTGTGATGTTACATTCGGTTTTAATGGTAAAACATTATAAAATTCACATATTTTGATATGTCCAATTATACCAAATATAATAATAAAATATCGAGACATTCTCTATATTCTTGCTGTAGTACACTGAATACGTCTAAGCAGTATGTATCCTTTATAAAGGAAAACTGCCTATCTCAAATATTTATTACTATAATTTATTTTACTTATTTTATCACCGGGTAATAAATAAAAGGCATTGTCTTATCATAATTTTTCTAGTTTTATTAGCATCTTCGGCTCAAGAAAAATATTTATTTCGTAATTATAGAATAAACGTTCGGCCTATAAATTTGAATGTTCTATTGATAATAAACAAGTTCTTTATAAAACTTTGTAAAATATTGGTTAGTTAGGGATCGAAGAAGTATGTACAATTCGATAAACACATGTTTTATTCGGTTTAACCTCTGTGAGGAAAGTGTAGATTTTTGAAAATTGAAAGGTTCAAGCTGGACGTTTGTAAGAGGTTTGCAGAGGACGCATTAATGTTTTATAAACATTACTATAAATATGCAAATGACAGTGTTCGGCAATGTCGCTGGCATAAATTATGCATTGAAATACGCCAAGTGTCATAAAAGGCATCGATAATGGGTGAAAGTAGAGCGGCGACGGGGAAGGTCGATATTCGCTCTTTGGAATGTCGGCGTTGGCTCATGCAGCAAACTCATCTTTTTACAAATATCTCGGTGTGTTAGTGGCTAACACTCTATTACCATATAAATCCGATGGTCAACGTTCCAATGCTAAAATAATCATTTGCATAATCAGGAAGAGACTCGGAGAATCTCCTGGTCGAGACATCCATTACGAACTATTATGCATTTTTCCGACGTTATTATAACTGATGAAATGGTATAGCCTCTAGGTACATCCACATCATTCTTTATTCACTGGCAGCCAGTTGAAAATCATGGTATCCGATAAAATTGTTTTGATCTGTGCTGACGATAAATTAGATAAGGACGGATCGTCGCGATTATGCGATATTTTTATTCAACTCGTTTGTAAATGTTTGCGTTTAAATTTATTATTCGATGTTTATGAATCATTGTTAAAAGAATAAAAGTTTATCAATTTCGCATTCGTTCCAGCTAATAATTTAATACACGCGGAATCAATGATAACGATCATATCTATACCGCGGATAATGGCGTAATAAAATAATTCGAATTAAGCAATAGAGCTTTGAGAGAGATGGCAAAACACGAAAACGGAAGTGTAAAATTGAAATTAAAAAAATTTATCATTAAGTGTTGGAAAAAGTAATTTCACTGCAATGCTGAAATATTTTAATCGGTTAAGCCTTTGGCGTTAATCAAATTTGTCATACTAATGTGAAAGTTAAAAAAAACTCGTCGGAATAATTGGAAAATTATGTTGATTGATAGTCTTGCATGTTGAAGCTCATAATACGAATTTACAAGGTATTTTCTCATGAATTATAACAAAAGAATACGTAGTTCGTAACAAAAGAGAAAATCTTTATACGTATAATTCCTTTGCGTTCTATTGACTTTTATCTTCTGTAATTTTAATTAATACTTTAATCGAATAATTAAAAGTGACATTTTATTAATATAGATTTGAAATTTAATTGTTATTATAATAGCCGAACAATTACGATATCAAATAATGTTTGATAATAACTTTATACGGTCTCGTTCATAATACATCATTTTATCAGTCTTAATTATTAACTTACATTATTTATTCTATTAAGAATAATAAAGTAATACCGAAGTTAAATTTTACCGACAGATTAATACTGTGATGTGCAATATCTACCTCAATTACGTGAGGTGCCCCACTTATCACATATCAGTAAGCACTTAAAACTATACTAATGCAGTATGTGATTGTATTATGTTATTATTCAAAGTCTCAATAATATTTTAACGCCTAAAATACTAAGGGAATATATTAGGTTATATATATATAGTATTGTATATAGTAGTATATATAGTATTTTATTAGCAAGCCGTAAAGAATTATTCCCAAAAAAAACATTATAATAGTTTTAATAGATTATGTATGCAGTCATGAATATTTTTTATTAGTACATAGTAATTTTCATACCCATGAACTTTTCAAATTATACTACATAATATTTTTCATCATTGAAGTAAAATATTTTTGTTATTCTCTATTTGTTGAAATAACAATGAATGTGAATTTGTGAACAATGTCAAAATATGGTTCTAATCAGTTCTCTTTATTAAACTACACAAGAAACACTAAGTAGTTCGATTTAATTTAATTTCAAACAATTAAATTTTTAGCTAGATTTTTGTAATGGTTAATTATTTTAATTAAATCATCAGTTAATTGAAATTTTGGTTTTGAAACAAATTAAACACAATTTGATATATGAGAATCCTATATCTAAGTTCTTATAATTATTTTAATTGATTTTTATTACAATTACTAAATTACAAGCTCCTGGCCTTCTTTTATTTTTCATAACAGTGGTTGATTTGTGTTAGTAGAGTAAATGAAAAATTTTAATTAAATAACATTTACATATTTTTTATGAAAATTTTGTCTCTACCAAGACAGATACATACACACATATACACATATAATGCTTTGCATCCAATAAAATTACTCAATTACTTTATTACTTTATATGAATATTATATATCTAGAACGAAATTGTATTGGATAAGTATTTATTATTTTCTTAAATGAAGAAATTTTGATTATAAAGTGCTTATGTCTTTAATTAACTTTGCTAATAATTACTATATAAACGTATATTGAAATACAGAATTAATGTGAGTTCAAAAAGTAACTAAATTTTTAAATACTATTTTTCTTTCTGTAAACATCAGTTTATATATTTTAATTAATTGTTATTTTTATACTATTGTAATTTCGAGAGAAGTTCTCAGTGAGAATACGACCAAAGTAAGAGAGATGGAAATAAGTATAGAGATAGAAAATGATTGGTTGAGAGAAGCATTGGTGAACTTAAAGAATGATGTTAGCTTCCTTAAGGCAATAATATCATTTAATAAATACGCAGTGTTATGCTCGGGTCAGTTAAGTGTCGGTAAGTCTGATATTTGAAATAGATTACGTAGAATTTTGCGATAGTCGAGAGTTATAGTTGGTTGGATAATCTCAAAGTTAACTGCTGCTGCACATTGTCCTTTCAATTCTGAGATTGATGCCCTAAATGTTTTATCATCATCTGTACCATCTGCGTATTCGAGGCCAAATGTAAGGGATTCCAAGCTTAAGAGGATCAGAGCTTGGAATTATTGATCGTGCACGAGGTACTGGTGGAAAGAGAATAAGGTACTGTTTGAATAATTTTTAAAATTTTAAATGCGAGATACGACAAATAAAGGGATGTAAAAATAGGCGAGAATTATGAAACAAGTCGCCATGAATAAACATGAGGATTGGCGTGCATCTAAGGGCGAGATAGGATGCACAGCAGAATTACGCGGCCATGGCTAATTAAAACGGCAAATGGGAGTCAAACGTGACGTAATGGCGAAGAGACGGAATAATGTAGACAATTGTCGCTTGATTCAAACTATGGCTTCAGCAGTACACATATGGCGGCCAAGCTCAAGCACATCTACGTGTTTGTTTCGTGACTTAACAATGGCATCAATATTGTTTAGGCGCCCCAGTCACAAGCCAATCGTGGAAACAAACACTCGCTTGGCTTTCGCTAAAGTGCAAGTACTTGCATATATTCCTTTTGACTTACAGTTACGTTGAATTTTCAATCGATATCTTTAGAACCGACTGCATACATTTTTTCATCCGTGCACTTTATTCGTATTTTCAGACTTTTTCTCATTCGTTGTAGAATACATTAATACGATAAATATATTTAACAATTGTTTCATAATAATAATACTCGGTCCATATCCTAAATTCAAATATCCGAGTTGATATAGAATTATTAATAAAGTAAGTAAATCGTAGAGTTATCGAGGAATATTGGTACTAGCATAAAACGTTCAATTACTGAATTAAAAAATGTTAAATTTGCATAGTAATGATCAGTTATAGGTATTTTGAATTGAAATACCTATACATTTTACATCTATTAATATTATCCGAACAATTTCCAGCTACGGATTAGAATTAGCAATTAATTATATAAATAATATAAGAAAATAATAGAATGAATAATAAAAGATAAAATTTTGTTTTAAACGAAGCAAGCATTTAAAATTAAATATACAAATCAAATAATTTTTATTTTTATATATTAATAAGATCCTTTTATTTTTATTGTAATTTTAATGAAAGTATTATTTTTAGTGTCAGTTATTCATTACTCATTCAATATGTCATTGTTGGTGTTTATTTTTAGTACTTTTTTTTTAACTTAAAAATAATGAATGCATATGATTTATTGTATTTGTATTCGCGTTGATACTTAGTAAATAATTTAGAAAATCATATCTTATGTTAATTAAATGCTTATTAGGTACAATTTGCTTATTATATTATTATTGTTTTGACAATTGACAATCCTGTTTAAAATCAAAAATAGTTCGGTGCATATAGATATTGTCATTATTAAGCAATGTTTATAAATTAGGTATCACAAATCTATTTATAATTACAATAGCTAAGGTAAATAAAAAACATTGTAAGTATGTTATGACTTTATTTAATTATAGATATTATGAAATATAAGCGATAAACTGTAATATAAGGCGATAATAATAATAACAGTACCGTTATTCTTGTTAAACTGGGAAACTTCCATGAAGATAATTAGGTCTTTGTTTGGATGTTATAATTATCATCTATGATTCATCAATTTCAATATACTGAAGCAATATCAGATTATTTTTGATTAATTTATCATTTTCTTAATCATTTTATTACTTAAGCATCTATATAATAATATTTTCATTTTGCAATTCTACAAAATCGTACGTCATACATCCATTAATTTTTTGTAAAAAATCTTATAATGCACTATATAATTTAAAAACTTTTATTGCATTACTTATATCAGATTTTTTTTTGTTATAATGTCAATGAAATAATAAATAATAGATTAATATATGAGAATAAAGTCTTATTTTAATAAATTAATCAAAATTACAAAAATTTATTTCTAAAAATCTGTTGTATGAATTTAGTAGTCAAATAATTGTTTTTTTTTTTTTTTTTAATAAACAACTCATTAGGTTTACAACCAAGTAAATTACGATTTAATTTTGTATTTAATATTCTCGATAAAAGAATTAGTTTAGATATATTATATACGGAAACTTTAAAAATTGTGAAAGAACTTCAATAAGCAATTTTAAATAGAGAATTTTAAATGGAAAACATGTTATAACATTTCAATTATTTTGTAATTCGTTTAAATTATTATAAACTGAATAATTTTTATGCAACTCAATTAAAAAAAAAAAAAAAAGAAAGTCTTATAGAAAGTTTTCATAATATGGCTGTATCATGTAACAACAAATGTAGTTGTAAATAAAATGTAAATAATGTTAAATTATTAATCTATATTTGCACGTATTTAAATGTATATAGAGATATTAGCGAGGTAAGAATGAATTATTATGAATTATTAGAAAGATTTAATAAAATTTTCATATTATTTCATACATAAATAATATACTTTCTTGTATAAATGACTAACACAGGAATGAAAAAAATCTGAAAGTCAAAGAACATTAGCAGGCTAAATAAAAATTAACAATTGTTTTTAGTAAGCATTATGAATGTACTATTTTATATAAAAATGCGTAATAATTCTATACAAAATTTTTCTTAAAATAACTATGCAGCAGGTTAATTATGTTTTATAATAACACATTGCATAGGAATTCTGTTCGTCATTGAATGAAATCAATCAGATTGAATAAGAAATTGAATATGTTTATAATAGCCACGCGGCATGTTTGTTAGCTGACACAAAGGGCCGATCATTGCGCTAGAAATAATGGTCGCGACTGTGATGCGAAGAATAATGGAAGTGATTGTGCACGTGTATCATTTCAAATGTACTGACTTTTCCGAACCCCCTACAACCGTTGAAGAATTTTCTTAGAGATTATGACCGTTGAATAATTTCCTTGAAATGATAGCCGTCGGGATTTTCTCCCAAATGATAATATACGAGAGATTCTCTGAATCTCGAATAGAATACTATTTAAGAATATTGAATCAAGTTGTTTAGAATATTAAAAGAATTTAAAAATAATTTTCAATAATTATTATATTAAAAAACAGAAAATATTTATAAAATAATGCATAATTTTTTTTGTATTTTTTATTGTTTTTTTTTTTGTAAAATAACTTCGTTTCTATCTAATGATACATTTCAATTAATTTTTTTGTCCCACAGTCGAAGAAATTTCTTGGTAGATATTTCAGACAATTAAAAAATTCATGCAATTTCTACTTTAGTTGGAAAACATAAACACAAGTGGTGTTGCATTTATAAATCATTGCAAATTAATGATTAAAAGAATGCTCGTTCTCGGGCCATTAGCTTCTTTTCATTGCTGCAAAGCTTATTTACAGTAAGATGTTGATATACTTCAGCAGACCAGACACAAGGCGCCACTAGAATTTTACATGCAGACAGTAGTTACAGAGGCTGCCTGGAGTGGGCGGAATAAAAATAGTTCATTCATGGTATGGTTGGTTAGGAAACCGCGGACCAAGATCGCACAAAGGAGAATCCTGGATGTGCCTGTGATTTATCTATCATTGGAAACATTCTCGTTGTTAATACAGGCGCCACTCTAATAAGCTTCTGGTCTGCGCGGTTCCCTTACCTTTGAAGATTATCATTCACGAAATCGACATATACACCCGTATTTCTTTGTTTCCATCTGCATTCAAGCTTATATTTAAGACAGCAAGAATTTTTTCAACATACGTTGGGTGCATCTTGCACCATCAATCGCACTAGTTGGCACACAATTCAGTTTTTATATTTAGCTGAAATATTAAGCAACTCGTTTTTCATACCTTTCATACCATAGATAATAATGAATAAATCCAGTAGTTGAATTATGTACATAAATGTTATGTTTACAGATGATTTAAAGACACAATTTGTTATATAATCATTATATCTTGTCTATTATAATTATATTTTGTCAATTACTGTTTTTTATATACTTATTTACTAGAACGTAGCTGTAATTAATAATAACTAAATATTTAAAGCTTAGGATGTACTGTAAATTTGCTTAGAAAATACCGTGAGTAATAAATGTAATTATATACGAGTTTAATATAATATATTAATATATACGGAACATTTCCCAAGCATGTGTTAAATTATTACATTTTATGCTATTACATTTTAATTTATTTATTGTATTTTATTCTATGTTTATAAAATGTGTATAAAATATTGAAGTTATTTGAAAAATAAAAAAAAACAAATAAATTTTTTATTAATGTGCTTGTGTTTACTTATTAAATCACTCTTCTTGTACGTTTAAAAAAATTCTAATTAATAGATAAACATAAAAATTCATTTTGCAACATCACACTTGAAACAGTATATTGAATTCGAAATTATTTTCTATTTAATTTTAATCATTATTTATTCGTAAAAATATATCATAAAAATACAGGAAATTATACGCTAATGATATATTACATGCCAATAAATAGCATTTTAAATTGGAATTAAGATTTAAACTTTTTTTGTGACAATTGATATGATAAAAAAAAATGAATAGAAAAGAAACAATGTACAAAATAATTGCACAAAAAAATTACAAAAGAAAGCAGCAGACAGAGAAGGTAATGTAGCATGCGCAGCAAATGCATAAATGTACAAATAAAATATTATCTACATTGGGATTTAAATAATATTCAACGAAATTTAAAGCAATGTAAGATATTAAAAATTCATTGTACATTAATAATAGGTTAATATAAGGCATAATTTAAAATTAATATGAGTTAACATAACACGCAAATTATTACAGAGTTTTAATACCAGTTTCTTTTAGATGATTTGATTGATATCCAAAGAGAGTTCAGGATTTATGAATATTTCATAATGGTTTATCCGTACATAAGTTC